AAAGATTGTGTGTGCACCCCCATCGCCCCCCCCCCCCCCCCCCCCCCGTTCAACAATTCTGGCGATCACAATTACAAATACGTGAGGCGGAAGTGACAAAATATAGAGGAACACTCTATTTGTATAAGAGACGGTCGTAAAGCGTGTCTAGCTCTCCGGGAATGCAAATAACGTAACAAAAGACAAATATCAATGACCAGAAAAAGAAAAAATACTATCATGATGACATCATTCACAGGTGCAAGCGATCTCTCAAATCACGAGGAGGTATAGTTTTATAAAGCTCATTACATGTTTTATCGATTTAAGTTTTTAGATTTTTTTTGACAGAAATATTGATAAAGAGACAAGAAAATGCACAGACAGAAAAAAGGGAGTTGAATAGAAAAATACACAAGGAATACAGAAAGACAAAGTACGAAACAAAAAAACACGGACAAGTAGAAGAGAGAGAGAGGAGAGAGAGAGAGAGAGAGAGAGGAGGGAGATCAAGAGGGAGGTGGTGAGGAGACATGGAGAGAAGGGGAGGGTAAGGGAGAGAAAGAGAGAAAGAAAAAGAAGTAGAAGGATCCGCGAAAATAAGTCTACTTTGACAAAACAGTGCAGTTTTTATCACGCGTATAAAAATTATTTCATTGTCATAGCGTCGAAGTAATATATTTTTATCCATGATATTTAAATACATCTAGTGGTGAGTCAGTCTCCTGAAATGATGTGACCTTGAGCCAATTTTTGTCATGCTTTATAGCTTTAGGATGATAAACATCATTTGAATGATTTTCTTTGATAATCAGCTCAATTCAAAGTTGAATATACGAGATAGTAGTACCTCAGACACTTCGTATAGTAGGTGCATGCTTCGACAAACCTTCTCCATAATATTATGTATCTACTTCAAACCGACCGATTCTTGGTTATTCAGAACAATTAATGTAAATATTTATTTGGTCTGGTGACGGTCTCTGGTGCAAAGAATTGCATCTAGGAACTGTTCATTGTGTCAAGAAAACCGTCTTAAGTCAAGTTCTTCGAAATCCTTTGGAAATATATTAAATTACCCATGCGCTTGAATAGAATTTCGGCGAACTTGTACTTGTGTACTGTTGTCTTTCTGGTCGGTGTGATTTGGGAGTGGAAAGCAGTCATGCTCTCTTATTCCAGTCAGACCGACACCAGACCGACACCAGACCGACACCAGACCGACACCAGACCGACACCTGACCGCAAAAAACATTACATAAACGCCAATTGAAAGAAAACAGTTGGTGAGTTCAGAGTCGGTCTTTAGTTGGTCAAGTCGTGTAACTAGGCCTGGAGTATCGACCTTTTTCACTGAATGAACTTTGAAATGATTCGATCTCAATGCACCGATCACGAGCGACTTTTCTGTGACCTCACCTGTCTGGGAAATCCCCTTTATACACGTGACTCTGTTATCCCATGTGACCAGAAACAGGTAGTCAAACTCGAGCAAATTGTTTTGGTAAACAAGTTAGCTTCAGAAAAAGTGCGTGGGTAGCTAGTGTGTATATTGATATTATCCAATATAGCCTTCCAATGGGTTGCCGTATCATACAAGCCCTTTCATTTTGTTTGATTATCATCATCAATCACACTAAAACTCTGTGACCCTCTTCCTATTCCATGTCTTATGTAATTTAGTAAACTATGGTACTTTTACGGATATTGTGTAAATTTGATAGTAGTCTTTCTTTGGTTATTGACAGGTTCATAGTCCAGACCTTCAAAATACATCGGAATCGTGAGAATAGAGAAACTATTCACCCGGATGAGAACTCTGCTTGTAACTGTTTGTAAACTCGGCAATGCTGAGCCATGTTAAGTTATTGTTTGAGAATAAGGGGGACCTTTAAACCTCTTACGAAATGTTAAGTAGTTATTATTGAAGAGTGTATGAATTGATAGAACCCCTTGTTGTAAACATTAGTCGTAAAACTAAACCCTTAAATATATTTGAACATGAACTTTGAGTCTAAATTATAAATTGAACCCCAGTCACTTAGTCAGAAGGTTACGCAAACTATTATATCGGCGTTAATATCAAATACTGAATGATCGACAGACGTAGACGAGAATAAACAAACCATACAACATACTACACATGGATTGATAAAATAATTTCCTGCATACTATTGATAAGAGCAGTGTCAGCTTATAATAGTGGTAACATTTAATAATTGTACTCCGAATGGACGTTATGGCTATTGAGCAATATGTCAGAGTCTGCATGCTTGAATATTTCTCCTCTGCACAACAAATCTCTTTGTTTTGCAAAACGCCTGTGTCAATCACAGAACCCATTCATATAGACTGAACTTGTTTTGGTGAGCGGGAATGTCCAAGCCCTCTTTCCCATTTAATAATCGTTCTCCAATTTATATGTCATGTAAATCAGATAATACTACTTATGGTGGGGGACCCCATGGACCTCCATTGCATGAGATGAAAAATTAATAAATGAATGAATAAACACTGCATTTGGTTGAACTCGCAGCTCCGATAATGTAATTGATATGTTTATCTTCACAATTACGACTTGAAGTAGTAGTAGTAGTAGTAGTAGTAGTAGTATAGTAGTAGTAGTAGTAGTAATAATACATGTAGCATGATTAGTAGTAGTAGTTAGAGTGGTAGTAGTAGTAGTAGGAGTACTGGCAGTAATAGTGTTAGTATAGCAGGCGCGGATCCAGGATTTCTTAGGGGAGGGGGCCCAACTTTTTTTTTTTTTGCTCCCGAAAATTTGAAAATCGCGCCGGCCGAAAAGTCGCTCAGTTGGGGGGGGGGGGGGGAGAGGGGTTCAGAACACAATTTTTTTTTTTTTTTTTTTTTTTTTTTTTGCTCCCGAAAATTTGAAAAACGCGCCGGAAAAATTCGCTCAGTGGGGGGGGGGGGGGGGGGGGGGGGGGGGGGGGGGGGGGGGGGGGGGGGTAGTGAGCACAGTCAATTTGCATGAGCAGGGGGGGGGCAGGTAAAAATACGTGATTTTACATGTCTCAAGGGGGGGGCCCGGGCCCCCGGGTGGATCCGCCACTGTAGTATAGTGGTAGAAGTAGTAGTAGAAGTAGTAGTAGTAGTACTACTAGTAGTAGTGGTGCTGCTGGTGGTGGTGATGGTAGTAGTAGAAGTAGCAGTATAGCACACCAAAAATAAGTACAACAAACACATTTTATTTGACGATTGCAAATTATCAAGCTTCATGAAAGTTTAAAAAAAACAAAAAACAGAATTGAAATCGGTCAATGCGTTGTGATTTTATACCATTTTTTTGATATCGCATAATTCCCGAAAAACCTGCCAGAAACGGTCAACTTGGCAAAAATGGCAAAATTCGACAAAGTTGACATCTTAATTTGTCACTTTCTTGGACACAAAAAATAAATTAAATTATCAGACACTAAAATATCATCATTGTGGTAAAAAGACAAAAAAGAAAATTCATATATGATATATCTATTACCGTTTTGAAAACAGAAGCCAACAAAATAAGTTATTTTTGCTCTTTTCGCAAATCTGCAGATATGAAAAAGTTGTGAAAATAACTAAGTCCGCCTAATTAATATGCGCATATGTAATCAAATCAAAACTGAACATGATACATCAGTGAAACCTATGTATATCAGACAGGTATGGAAATATATTTCATTTGAAATATCAAAGAAAAATCATGAATATTCATCAAATATGCAAATTAGGTCATTTCAGCTAATTATATAATCGCGCACTCATTATGCAAATTAGAAAAGTCAAACTGTTCATTTTGTTGGCATTTTTAAATCATATATTCATAGATCATATTTACACCAAATATTAACCTTAAATTTTTCCAATTTTTTTGGCAATGCCAATAAAATATGGCGATGAAAATTACTTGGATCACCGTCACAGCTATTTCCTCATATGTTTCACAAATTATTCAGAAAAACCGATCATATCATAAGAATTTGTAGACTTTCAGCTACATCACAGTATATTTTGCTATTTAAAAGATGTCAGAGAAACCATTCAACAGGCCATAACATTCCACAGGGACTGAATTTTAGAGTACCAACAAGTTTTGTGACCCCAATATAATTGTTGCTACCTGGAGTGTAAATAACAAATTTATTCAATGAGTGAAACACATGAGGATATTTCATTTTTGTAGGGGAGTTTTATACATTGAGGTGCATTTTCACCAAGGCGATCAGCGTGCCATGTCACACATGGCTGAAAAGACAATATTCTAATTAAATAATTGAACATATATCCCACATGCTTATAACAATTAAACTACACAGAATTGTAGTTAACGGTATGCTCAAAATATATGTAATATACAAATTAAAAAATATTGTTTAGATTTTTTAAAATAAATTTACAAAAATTGCTATTTCTACCAACTGACTGCTGTTGTGTGTGTGTGTTCGCGGGGCAGATTGTGTGCACAGGCAGTGTGATCACCCTACTACTACTACTAGTAGTATTAGTAGTAGTACTACTTCTATATACTACTACTACTATTACTACTTCTACCAACAGTTATAAGCTTCAAGTATGCAAATATTGTTGATGGGAAGTACATTAAAATTTACAGAAAAAAACTAAATAAAAGTGGTCGAGATCAGAACCAACCGACCCATCCCCCTATGGGATCAGGCTGTGTTAATAGAGGGAAAATAGAAAACATAGTCTTATGACACGTGATAGGACACTTTGGACCTAATCACGTGGTTCTTCCTGACTGACTTCACACCCAACCTCTATCGAGTTATCTAACTGAATGCGTTGATGTACAGGTCACGAGATAAAGCTATTGAGCTTGACAAACTAACGCCTTCTTTCCCTTTCGTTCCTTTTGTGTTTTTCCGAGATTTCCCTTCTGGTTATTACATATCACTGAATCCATGGCTGTGCGCATTGATATGTGTGTTGGATGAAAAGTATAAATACCAGGACTCGAATAGTGACTGCTCATTAGCTACAAAGATACCGATCAACTACAGAATAGAAAAGCTTTCAAGTATCAATCTACGTTCATTACATGGATTTTATTTCGATTTAAGAGAATTAAACAGCAGTTCCAATATTGCTATACCAAACAAGCAGAGAAAACGATCTTCTATGAATTTTAATGAGAAGGTTGGGATCAAGCGACATTTTTCAAAGCGAACATTGGCGGCAAATAAGGTGGAAAGCTGTCTTCATCTGAGAACTTCATCCCCTAGAGTTATGGCAGATCAAGTGCCCTCCCTATCCCCACAATTCGAGCGGACACAAACCATAGATTCGAACAATAATTCCTTCTTTCTTGATAGTAGAGTTTTCGAGAAGAACTCCTCGACCAAGGAATCCAAGTCCGATATCAAAAGCGAAAATGACTATTGCCTGAACGAAGACTTGGAGAATACAGACGTGTCATTCAGCCAGGTACAGGTGGTCGATGTCCCGATCATTCCTGACAACACTGATCAGACGACGGAAGCCGAGGAGGGAGTCGAGAAGGAGGGGTGTGACGAACCAGAGCAAGAAGACAATTGCCTGAGCGAAGACTGGGAGAATACAGACGTGTCATTCAACCAGGTACAGGTGGTCGATGTCCTGATCATTCCTGTCAACACTCAGACGACGGAAGCCGAGGAGGGCGTCGAGAAGGAGGGGTGTGACGAACCCGATGGACTCTTTGGTAGAATAGCCTTCAAATCGAAAGACGTTGACTGTTTGATGCCACATCATGTAAGTGTATAAACTTTGTTTTTTGTATTAACAATATGAGTTCATTTAAAAAAAAAAGTTGCGATCATCTGTAATTTACTTTGTATTACATACTTTGGTGGTGGTGGTTATTTTACCTGCCTGCTAAGAAAGCATAAATGCTTGTAAGTAAGCAACCAGACGGCCGACGGCTTTAGGTCCTCTCCGAGGGACCTGGTAATGAGGATTAATGCCTTACCAAAGGGCACTAGCGCATCGCCTTGGTTTCGAACCCGGGTCACCGGATTACGAGACCACTGCTCTACCGACTGAGCTATCACGCCTCCAAGTATTGCCAGTGCTATTTTCTGACAGTCACACAAAATACCACGATTAGTATAATCTCTAATATTTACAACAGGATTCCAAATGCTTAAAAAAAAAATCAAGCGTAACGCAATGTCAATAGACCTGTTCAATTTTGAAATATGTAGACATTACAATGACGTATTGCACAATCTTAACAATATTTCTCTTGGCAATTCAGTAGGGTTTTTGAACTGATCTCAGTGGATTTCTTGAAAGACTTTGCGATCGTGCTTGATGCTTGTAAAAGGGTTGGAATTTAACTCACTTTTTGCTTCCATTCTATTTCCTTGACCAGACAATCCTGAGAAAATATGGAGATAAGGTTCATCTCGAGAAGACAACGATACGGGTCACGAAAGATGATAAAGGTAAATAGAAACACCCCCCCAAAAAAAAAAACCACACACACACACACACACACACACACACGAAACACTTACAAATAGCCGCAAGATACATCAACAGCGAGCGAATACGACCATGGTTTGTAATATGCGGTATACTTCAATAAATGAACATCATTGGAATATTTGTAATTAATGAACGAAACTTAATAAGTGAATAAATGGATCAACGATTAAATAAAAAAAATGAATACTTAACTAAATAAATAATTATGAATCTACTTTTCTGGAGTACGATTTTTGGTATTTGCTTTCATTCATAATTATTTAATTTTGTCTTATATATTATAGATGTGGTGTGCGAAGGGCACTCTGAAATTGATGAAGTGAGTCGATGGCCCAGACACGTTCACACATCAGCACTGTCTTTCATCAGTCAAGATTTAGATGATGTTCCACAGATCTATCTCAATACTTCAGGAGAAAAAGTTACCATGGGAAGATTCACAGGTGAAAGAGGTCCGTAACCATGGTTACTCAATAAAATGGAGATGAGAGTGCTGCTGCTCATGTTGATGGTGATGGTGGTGGTGATGATGACGATGAATATTTTGTTGGCTCAACTATACATGTGAAGATTATATTTACATGAACTTAGAATAATTTGTATTTGCTTCTCCTCCACAGCTCGATTCTACCTGGAGTTTTATGCAGACAGACGTCAACAAGGCCAACTTTGTACAATTCGTCATCATATCACCAACACACTATACGACGCAGTACACAACAGAATGAAGGTACATAACTGAACTCAAAGAAAGGTTTTGTCTTTCTTGACCCTCGTGATTTAAGATTAATAGTTCAAGATAATCTTTCAATCACCATATTGTTGTGTATCCCCCGAAAGAAACTCAAGTGAGATTTACACATTTTGAATCATGGGTGTAAAGATCAGATCGTATTCCCAAATAAGGGAAGAGAGTTAGTTTACCATCAATTTTACACAGCACATGTCACTGAAAATATGATACCGCCTCAATATTTACCATGTGCAAGTCATGTAGATCAAATGATATGTTTGTGATTGAAATAATTGAAATATATATTTAAATGCACATTGTTATATAGTAAAACCCATGATTTTCTGCATTTATTGTCAATTTTCAGACGATGAATTATCTTCGTCCTGATCAAGCATGTCTGCTTCACAAGATATCAAGACAAAGTCATGATGACAATTTCGTGTTCGAGTCAGTGAAGCGTCGAGGTAACTATATATTAGGGTGTCTCAAATCAAGACATTCTCCTATACCCCCTCCCCCAAAAAAATAATGATAATAGTAACGAGAATAATTTACAAAAAACAAGGGGGGGGGGGGAGTCTTTGGCGGTAGTGTGGATGAGGCAGACGATAAAAATGGCTTAAAGTAAAGTCGACAACAAAAATTGGAGGCTAAGTAAATTTTGCCGCGCCCATTATTATCAGTTATTTCTGCTTTCGCCACTGAATGAGAATATATTGATATACTGATAAAAAAGGAATAAAAGGTAACTTTAACTTGTGCTTTTGATATTGATAATGCTTTTACCAATTGCTTGTTATACATGTATGTCTTTAGTCATACATTGTCACTATGCATGGTGCAATTGGAAAGATGAAAAAGTGTCGTCTGAATTTCTTAATGAGATATTCACATTGTACAAGTCTTACTAGGGAGAAAGCTTCAAATCTTAGAAAGTTATGTCAAATTCTCTTCTTACCATAACATGTAATAATTGTTAGCGTACCTTTTTTTCCTTCTTGTTTTCTGTCGAAAAAGGGCGTTATATAACTTGTTTAATGAGTAGAGAAAAGTACTATACACTAGTAGTACATAGAGATATATAATATGTATCTCATTGCGCTAATACAAATTACAACTTTGAAAAGTTGAATGGGATGTGCAATTCTACCGTAAGGGAGTTAACTATCTTGATACCGGAGGAATGGGGAAAAAGTGGCTAATTCTTTTCGGATTCTTCTTTTCGGAAAAGAATACAGATTCAAACTGAACATTTGCCTCACACTCTCTCTCTCTCTCTCTCTATCGCTTTAATATTTAGGTCAATACCTCATCTATGACAGGGATGCAGGAGAACTTAAGTTGTCTCAATCCGTTAGTCCATCTTCAGTCCCTTCTAGTGGATCTTTCCTTGTCACTAAAGTAAAACATTCTGCTCAATCAAGATCATCAAGGCCCGGCCCCTCCACTCAGTGTTATTTAGGGTACGAATATGCATGTTCCCTCCTTTTGAAAACACCCGTTAAGTCCGATGTGTAAAGCCTCTTTTGTGTATGTACGAGCCGGACTTTGGTGCGTGAAAAGTACCCCTTTACCGGACATTTTGGTAACACGCATGGTATCCCTCCGTTCACGGATTGGGGGGGGGGGGCATCAAGGGCGTGATCATCTACAAGGTTATCAACAAATCATCATCAAAATCATTGTCAAGGACATTATAACATTCAATTTAATGAGCTTTGTCAGGAGTAATACGAATCGTTTTAGGTTCATGTAATGAATGTGATCTGTTGAAGTCTCAGGTTGTAAATCCAAGTCTGACATAGCATAGTATAGGCTTACTGCTTAGTTTATTGATATGAGTGTTCATATTCTTACTGCGATATGTTTTATTATAAAATCAAGTAATTAACTGCGACGGTTTACTGATTACAATTCTAGAGATTGCATACAGGAAGATTGCCTATTTTTCAAACATATATACATGTTAATCACAAATACAAGAGTGTTAATAATTTCATTAACAAATGCACGATTCTTGCACATAATAATGTTCCACTTGTAAATAGCATTTGTAAATTGTATGATATTTCTATTATATTCACGGGCTTATTTCCTTCAAACTATTTTCTGTATGAGAAAGTTGCACTTGCTGTAGTTTCTAAGAAACTTCGCTTACTGTTTTTGTTTCATTGCCATCATTATTCGTAATAGGCAAATACATATATCCTTTTTAATATTTTTTGTAAATAATATAGGCTATGTGTTTTGTGAAATTGGTAGTTCCCATGTGCATGGGCGAAGATCTGTATCGATACCTATTGTTCATGAGGGAGGGGGGGGGGGGTGATCTATTCATTCACCCCCTGAACAATAGGTATTAAGGATCTACGCCCATCTCCACGTGTGAAAAAGATCTCTATTTAGTCCACCTTGATAGTAATAAAAACAGATGTCGTAATCGTATCGACAATCAAATGTACTGATTTCAGGATATATGTTATTGTAGCTTGTAAATGAACAATTTTATATGAAATATGATGTCATTATGATTTGAGCTTGTAATATGCAAGAATATGAATGATATTTTATTAAAAATTAAAGATGTTTTTCCCCCTGAATAGGCCTATAGTGTGTTTCTGGTGATCGTATGCCCTTTTGTACGTGCTCTGAAACGAACAAATTCAAATGTTTGCAAAATAATCAAAGCTGACGACTAAAACTAAATGAGAGAGGATGATGAGATGGGGATTAAGAAGAGGGATAGCATGAGAGAGAGAGAGAGAGAGAGAGAAAGAGAGAAAGAGAGACAGAGAGACAGAGACAGAAAAAGAGGGGGGGGGGGGGGGAGAAAGAGAGAGAAAGAGAGAGAGAGAGAGAGATATGTATATGTAGATGGAGAGGGTAAGAAAGAAAGAGAAACAGAAGAGGGAAGAGAAACAAACGAGAGATATGGAGAGAGAGAGAAAAAAAAAGTCCATATTAGAGTTTAATATGCAAAACTTTTCTATAGGTTAGTCGCTTTTCTCCGGCAAATTGGCACCTAAAATGGGATATAGAGCATAACAGACGTATTTGAAGGGTTAAGATTATGAGTCTGTCTGCGTTGAATTCAAGTATAATTTACATCAGGAGTCTTGATGAATTGTGTGTCCCAAAGTAGGATAAGGTGCACATTTTTTTTTTTTTTTTTTTGAAAAGAAATATCCTAAATTTTAATGGAAAATCCAACCTTAAATCCAATCCAATCCAATCCAAAGGAAATTTGATATAGCGCCTTTTCTTTGCAGTTACAAAGCGCTGCACACACGCTCCACAAGATACTATGTCCCTTTTGCAGCCAACATCAAATTCTGTAGAACATATCCCTGGTAGAACTTTGCAGGAATTATGAATATGTCATGTATCTCCTATCTGTGCAATTTAAACGTTAGCAGTGTCCTAATATTCAAATTATGCAAGGAAACCCGTTTACTTGCTAGACTTTACTGTCAGACACTAATGAGTGACTGACTGGCTTCTTTCTTCTTTGGTAATAACATACACAAAATGAGCTGTAAAGGGTACATGAGCATTTGTCTACCATATTGCTCCGATTGTCTCATGTTCGCTCGCTGGAACATTGCCAGCACAAACCACTGACCTCTACCTCCTGGACGGATCATCGCCCATTCCCATTCACTATACGTTAAGTACTAAAAGGCTGTATTGTCTGACCGTTCATGAATATTCATGTTTTTGCTTACCTCGGCAAAATGTTTGCTTTTACTAAATGGAAAAATTACGGTGGGGGGGGGGGGGGGGGGTGGATGAAATAGACATAATGAACCAAGCAGAAGTGATCTATGATAATTCATGCTTCTTATCCTTCGTGTGCTCAGGGGCGTACGCAGGGGGGGGGGGGGGTTAGGGGGTTCAAACCCCCTTTGGTATTTTTATGTATGTAAAACCCCCCTAAAAAAACCTAACCCCCCCCCCCCCCACTGAGCGACTTTTCGGCCGGCGCGATTTTCAAATTTTCGGGAGCAAAATATTTTAAAACCCCCCCCTTGAAAAAATCCTGCGTACGCCCCTGCGTGTGCTTGACCTATAATCTTAAAATCGCTTGGCAAACTGAGTCCAAAGTTCGACTTGTTTCACATGTGTATTATAGGCAATGACGAGCTTGCAACCTATTTTGATCAAATTACGGTGGGTGAACTTTCAAAAGTCAATGGGACATGAGGGTTCAAATGAAAGAGCTTGTGAGAACGGACGTCGGGGTGGATGTGCTTTTCGTTTAAACAAAAAATGAATTTTTAACGATTTGTTTCGGTAAAAGTCAATAGGCTAACATGTTAGGCTGCTGACTCTGGTTGAATTGGTTGAATTTGTAGACAGTTAAGGTGACGTAGTGCCGGACAACCTTTCCTTATGTTTCAATATACCAAATGTCTCTGAATGTAAATTAACAATGTCCCGCCCCAATCATCCCCAAAACTCCAGGTTGGGTGACCTCCAAATATTAGTTGATTCCTGTAGATGTGCAGGGCTGCATACAACTCATATTTTGTTATTCAAACATATATATGTATATGTCATAGATTTTTAAACATTAAACTTTTTTTTTCTTCCGAGACCTGCTAAGCTCCACCCTAAAAAAATGTTCCTGATCTCATTCATCTTGTGACATCATCTGTCAATCACTAGTGCGCTAACATGAGACAGTGGTATATAACTTCCCCCAGCTCAGCACATGCTCACAAAACAATTGCGTTCTTTCATACCACACCTCCACATTACCCTTCTTTTCCTGGTGATGCTACAGCACGTCTTACATAGCAACTCATGTGTTGTTATTGCATGGCCTATTGTAAACAGGTGGTCAGCTCTGGTTTTGGAGGGGGGGGGGGGGGGGGGGCAAAATCATCAACAATGAATTTCCATTGTCTGAGAATTGTTCGTACGGCGTTCGTAGCAGTTCGTAATGGTATTTGCGACTGAGGCTTAACCTGTTAAAACTCGATTAACATAATATAGGCCTATCCCTCCCCCTGAAAATAGTCGAAGATGCCCTCAGACTTCGTTTATCGGTTTGCATCAGACATTGAACAAATGACTAGTATAAATGAGAGTGTGCATTATTTTCAGATCATCATGCTCTAAAGCCCCTAAAAAGGCCTAAAATGTCTAATAAAACTATTCTACTTCATGTCAAATCTCTTTGAGCGTGGAAAATTTAATCGAACATATTTTTTGCTGGTTGTATCATTTTGAACCAAATTTGGTACAGATGTTCTCAAAGCTATGCCTCGTCCAACGCTATTGGCTATACGCCGAAGAGTAATTGCGCTTCAACAGGAAGGGCACAAACAGGTCGATATCGCTGCTTTCCTTGGCATATCACAGAGCACGTTTTCTAAAATCCTTAAACTTCATCGGGAGGAGAGTAATTTGAGGCCATGGCAATCTTTAGGACCACGATTGAGCAGCGCACGAGATAATTGCCGGTTGCTTAATATGTGCCATCAGAACAGGAAAATCCCGACAAGTCGTCTTCGTCGTCTGTGGAGATTTTGACACGTGCCCCTTTTCATAACTAATAATAAAAAAATTCCTTCTTATAAGTGCCCCTTCCCCTTCTCATAATTACCCCTTAACATCCCTGATAAATGCCCGATTTATTTAAAAATGTGTCTCGTTTTGTTTTCACTTTTGTGTGTTAGTCGTATCAGACACGATTAGCATTAAATGCTATTTTCGGGTCTCATTTATCCTTTCAATGTTAACCATTCACATTTGATTGTTATATTGATGTACTTTTTGTTTGGATAATAAACTTCAAACTCAAACTCAAACTCAATATGAGCCACTTCCCTCTTTTATCAAAAGCCCCCTTTCACCTCCGATAAATGCCTCTATAAAAATCTGATCAGTGCCCCTTGTTATAACAAATGCCTATTTCCTTTATCATAAGCACCCCTTTTTCATTCTCACAAGTTCACCATTTCAAGTGCGATAACGACCCCTTTTCACCTCTGATAATTCCTCTTTTAACAAGGATACGTGCCCTTTTCCCTTTCTAATAAGAGACCTATCCCCTTTTGACAAATGCCCCTTTTCACCTCTTATAAATGCCCCTATGAAAATCTGATGGGCGCCCCTCTCCCGTCGACAAATGCCCATTTCCCATTCTTATGAGTGCCTTTTCTCATTTCAATGGTGTCTCCCGGATTTTCTAGCCGGGGGTGAGGGGGGGGGGGGGGGGAGGATGTTGTTTTAATAAAAGTCCCTGAGATGGGAGGGGGGGGGGGGGGTTCTTGGGCTTTTCCATGACATTAAGTTAATTTTCCTTTCATGTACTTGAAGATCATTGTGAAAGAAATTGTACAACACGAAGTATCAAAATGTAAAAGAAGCATAAAGAATGAGGAGAGCCCTATACAGTATAGCTATTTACAAAAATAGTAGAAATTCTTGTTTGCAGCCCTCATCGGTTAGTGTGTAATTGTTATTTTGTTCCTTCAGACTATTGTTATGTTCTCTAATGTACCGGGTATTTGAATTTAAAAAGAATTAAAAAGTGTCGTTTGTATTATTTCCCTCAGCAATACAATTCAGTGTGTACATAGCAACCAGATGCATTGAATTTTCACTTTTCAGTAAAATCGAGGTGTTCCTATTATCTTATTTCTTTTCTTTAAGTATTGTTTTTTTGTCCCTCTGATGTCTTTTTTCAATAATTTTGCTTATCAAGAGGGAAAAGGAATATCCCACATCCCCCTGCATCTATACCACTGGTTAGTTAAAACACGGTACAAAAAAAAAATCATCCTCAAAATCATCCTGCAACATACACACTATTGTATAGAATATTATTTCGCAGAACAGCAACAACCATACAAAAGAAAATCGTAAAATACATAATTATGCAACTACAGTTCAATAATCAATCAGCAATGGCGTAGCTACCAGCAAAAATGGAAGGGCTCATTTATTTTACTCCTCCTTTCTTTACCCATATTGAAAAGCAAAAGGGTGAGAGAAAATTAAGAGTGAAAGATAGTAAAAAGATAGAAAACAGAAGAGGGCCAGGCAATATAGAATGAACATAATACGACACCCTCCCTATCACTGCATGGCCTTGCTATCTAAGAGTTTATACACATAGTATGACCGGTTTCCATCAACAGCTGGACCCAAGCTATGACACATCACATACACACTTTAATCAAAATTAAAAATCGAACAAAGGTCTTCATCATTCATTGATACCAAAGCCACAGACATATATTCCACCATTGCCATTTGGGGATTTCTTCTAAAGTACATTTAACACATGATTTTGGTTCCTTTAACTTTTATTTGAACTCTACTAATGATACTTCATGATAATCCATTAAATGTAAGCAGGTACATTGCATTTCTTTATTCATGGGTTTTATGATTCCAAAATGTAGATTCTTTACTTGATATAAATCTCAACTTTTGAATCAATGCATGATCTTTAATTTCAGAAATATCAAACAAGCTACTGTCACCGTAATACCGTATGATGGTTATAACATACTGAGATGATACACACTCATATTGAGTTCTCACATTATCTTTAGTCATTTGAATGATAAGCATCATTTAGTCAAATCAGTAATTAGTTCCGAAATACAAAAGCATGAGTGAGACAATGTGTGCATGCAAGCTTGTCGAATTCTGCCGATAATAAACTAGCCCAACCCCAAGGGAGGGGGATGTGGGGGGGGGGGTACTCACATATTAAGACATACTGGGTGTGCTGCGCTAATGGGTAAATATTCCACAAAAATCCTTAAACATGGGCCCCATTTTTTTACAAAATACATGCCTAAACATGGGTCCGTTTTTTCAAACTGTGCAAAATGTTTCGGAAGTCGCATGCCAAACACCCGAAATTTGTGAAAAACGGGCTTTACTTGAGCGGCACACCCCGTCCAAACCAAATATAAATACCCCCCTCCCCGTAAATTAGCATGGCATCATAATGACACAGGATAAAGTGTTCGAATGGTTTTCAAAATGCTCTATGATAGGTTGATACTAATCAGAACTACTGAAAGTTCATATGCTTATGCAAAACTACACATAACCTAGGCCTATTAGCAGCAGATATTACATAAAACAATTTATTTTTAAAGCTAAGCTATTCCAATCAGTTTTTTGAAGAATAATATATCATAAGTTTAAAGTCCATTATATAGTGCTGAGAATCACAGTACATTAGATCCAAATTATACATTTACATTATATTATTTCAAAAATAGGTAACACCTTTTCTTATTCAAAGTTTCATTTAAAGGAAAATTACAATGTTGTTTTCGTTGTCGGAACCCGATGATGACTCCGCCTAGTCCAGGCTTACCATTAGGATTATGCACGTGTGCATATATATGCAGTGCAAAAATAATGGCGAACGAGACTGAGCAGCCAGAATGCGTAGTGAAATCTTGATCACACACCTTGAATGGGTGACTTGTCGGTGAAATCGATGGCACAATTGCGCATAATATTTCTTTTAATTTTGAGTTCGGGTTCAAATTTGATATCTGTATATTATTTTACATTAACATGCTATAGAAACATAGTTGCTTTTGCCGCCCCACAAGAATGCACAATTTCGGCGGTCATCCCATAATCTAAGATGCTACGGCGCTAAGGTGCTCTAGCTTGCTGGAATTTGAAGGTCCCATCGACGTCTTCCTCTTTGTTAAGGCAACATTCAACCTTAACCTGCAGTTGATACTCACGGGTGATATCTGTACCGTCTTCCGGATTAGGCTTGGCGTAAGTGATTACGTTGGTAAATGTAATAGTTGTTTCATCCTCCTGTAATGACACAAAGTAATATAAAATACAATGATGTTACGAGAAAAAATGAAAGCCAGTATCGAGTTTGATAAAAAATATTGAATGTATACATTGTAACTTTGTAATATATATTATTCTTTTCCCTTCATTTTAAGATGACTCTGAGGTGATAGTTAGGTCTCTGTCCGGTAAATTGCATTTAGTAGGAGACCAGCCTGTAGGTCCCGTGACCAATCTCGGGGAACAAAGGTTTGAAAGTGTTTTTGTGTTCCCTGATGAATACCGAACAATTTTGACTTGGGCTGCCCCCTTGAAAATCCCAGGCATTTTCGTGAGGGGTCAACAAAGGTCATACAGGGTAGAGATTCAAATATATTCCAATCGTGGCGATATGCATATCAAACTACTCGTCTGGCCATGAGGATTCAAAAAATGTATAGTTTGCTATACCTCCGACCTTAAATGAGGGCGCTATGGTCAAAAACGTTGAAAGGTCAACACACTTTTGACTGGTGATCAAATTCAGCAACACGGTAACGATTCTAATGATTTTAGTGTCTAATAATATGTTTTCTGACATAACAAATTCAACTAAGCAACTTTTAAAACCAAAAGTGGTTGCCATAACCTTGAAATTTCCCTCAAACCCATGGATAAGAAGTTATATATCTTTGTCACCGAAACGGCAGCCATTTTGAATGTACATGGTCAAGGTAAGCACTTTTACTTTTGAAAGTTGTATAGTTGACTTTGCCAGAAAACATATTATAAGACACTAAAATCATTAGAATCGGACAATGTTAACTGTGTTGGTGAATTTGACCACCAGTCTAAAGTGCATTGACCTTTTTACCATAGCGCCCTCATTTAAGGTCGGAGGTATAACAAACTATACATTTTTTGGAATCCTCATGACAGACGAGTAATTTGATATGAAATAAGATAAGGTTCACTGTGTTGGTGAATTTGACCACCAGCTAAAGTGTGTTGACCTTTCAACGTTTTTGACCATAGCACCCTCATTTAAGGTCGGAGGTATAGCAAACTATACATATTTTGAAACCCCTTTACCAGACGAGTAATTTGATATGCATATCGACACGATTGGAGTATATTTGAATCTCTACCCTGTATGACCTTTGTTGACCCCTCACGAAAATGCCTGGGATTTTCAAGGGGGCAGCCCAAGTCAAAATTGTTCGGTATTCATCAGGGAACACAAAAACACTTTCAAACGTTTGTTCCCCGAGATTGGTCACGGGACCTACAGGCTGGTCTCCTACTAATTACTGAATACTGAGTATGAACTTGAATCGGTAATACATGGAGTTACTGTGCGGGTGATATCACGGTCTTATAAATCCCATACCAAGTTATAGGGAAAAAAGACTTCTCATTATACAATATGAACTATACCAGCCATCATCTAACCACCCATGCTACTGATACTGGTGTTACATTAAGTTTTACTCACGTGTGTCGAGGGGGGGGGGGGGGGGAAGGGGATGCTTTGGGGGCTGAAGCCCCTCTCACATTCCCCCAAAGGAAAGACGAATGCTCCTTAGAGACCAACGATTTTGAAAGTAAATAGATTGAGAGTCGTGCACTGTTCTTCAAGACTTAATGAGCAATTTCATTGGTGAAAAAGGTCTTAGCACCCTACGTGTGAAAAGGTTCCGAGGCACATTGGCCCAGAAACCTACAAATCAATTATAGTGAGTGCCAGTCCCCCCCCCCCACCCCATCCCCCAAAAGACGGCCTCTGGCGATTTTTGTTTGTGTTTTCATATGAAATATGACTGTATTACTCCGTATGAAACAATACATAAATATCTATAAGTAAATAGGTTTTCTTTCTTAAAGTTAAAAAAAAGCCATTTAAAAAACGTGTTATATACCAGACTATCAAGATTACAAAATAGATTTATCACATACACTGGCGTGCTGATGGGCAGGGGAGGGGGGGGGGGGGCAGTTGCCCCTCCGGAAAAATGGTTTATTTCTAATTCGTTACCAGTGATTTACAAATGTTGCTAAAATCTTATGATTTTCCGTATTTTTTCCTCAGTTTTTTATAAATTATACTTTTTTATGCGTTTGTTGGAAAATGACAAATCCCCAAATTTACAGTCAGCCGAAACTATGGTTATTTAGATGCTAGATGTCACGGCCCGCAGAACGGCTGGGCTCGGGGGGCTCGAGGGGCTCGAGCCCTCCCCCTCACTGTTTTGAAAAAGTATGTTAAAGAAAAATAAATAGAAATACAGAGAGAATTGTGACCTGCCAGTGTCACAAACAAGGTATAAAAACATGCTCATCCGCCCGTAATGACATGCCTAAAACCCCCTAGCTTGCCGGGACTCCGCTCCCTGGACCTCAAATGGGCCCTAAGGAGGGCCCCTGGATGCTCATCTCACAGTTATTAAATGCTTAAAATCCCCGAGCCCCCCCCCCCAACAAAAAGATTTTGCTCATTACGCCACTGATCACATAGGACCTAAAATTAATATGCCCGAAATTCAAAAAGAAGGATTAAAAATTTGCTCTCAGTTGTCTTTACATAGAATTAGCGAAATGCCAGTAAAATCATGTCAATTTTATGAATATATACATGTATGTCATTAATAACAACTCACTTTTATATTCGTATCTGCCCATAATGTCGTCGTTTAATGTCATGTGAAAATGGGGTAATAAATGCTGTTGCCCCTGTGCATCAATTTCTTCTTCTTATTTGATTTAATGTCAAGAGACATTGTAGCGGAATAACATGTACAAACATTGTTATTACCGTGTGATGATATTTCCTAAATTTACGGCGAGAAAAAACCCAGAAAAATCAAGAAGTAGGCGGAAGCGCTATATACAAATTAAATATTATTATTGTTATTATCGGATGCAGACCAAGATAGACTCCTGGACTTTGACTATCGTTACTTACTATAATAAAATATATTCGTTATTTGGAATGAAAGTAAACATTATGTGTTTATGCCAGCATGTCATGCCTGTCACGGCGAACTTCAAATCAAACTTTTTGGCCCGAATTCACAAACGAGGTTTGTCGACAAACCTAGGTTTATGTGCGTCATATGATGCGCTGTACCAATAAGGCTCTGCCCTAGCTGGACCCTGCGCAGTTAGGGGGTGCGCTCTCCTGGGACCCAAAACATTATGTTTAAGCCCCCTATTCACATATCTTACACACGCCAATTGTATAAGTAGCCACGACAACAAGAGTGATCCATACCAGTTATTATTTAAGAAGTCATACCTCAAAGCTGGTGCCACATTGACTGTAGTCTGTAGTTAGAGTGATCTCATTAGGGATAGAGCTGTATTCACCGGAGCAGGATTGGTCTCGAAAATGAACATCAGATGCTTTACCTATGACTAGCCCTTGATCTATGTTGACGGTCATTGAACTACTTCCACACTCAACAGATGTCACTGGTACGAGAGAATCGTCAGGAAGAAAGAAAATGTCAATACCGTCACTTTTTTATTTTATCTAAGATGTCAGAAGCAAAAAATGACGTAATTAATAAGGGCGATTATGGAACTACGGGTGAGGGTAAGCGTGTGTTTTCATACACACGGGTAGTTCATATATCCTGGCTAAATCATGATGAACATGAATTCGTCTAACACAAAAACAAAATATTCAAGATACTTACGCTTATCTTGACACCGTCTCCCGGCAAATCCTGCTGGACATGTGCAAGAGCCTTGAGCCTGCTCACAGGTTCCTCCATTACGACAACGGTTATTACATTTATCTGAAAAAAAATCAGAGACAAAAGTTGCTCTATTAAATGATGTGGCACCTGAAAGTACGAAAGTAAAGACCTACTTGAAAAACTGTTTTAATATACATATTTAGACTAAAAGGGTACATTTATGCGCTTTAACCTCCCCCTCCCACGATGGAATTGAAAAGCAATAGACAGGTAGATGTACTTTAAAACTCAACAGACAACCATTTAAATCTTCCAATGACTTTAAAATATCTTATCCGTTGGCTCAAAATAATGTGCACGCGTCCTTTACACCGAGTATACAAAAAGAGAGTAATTCAAATTACTTGTGAATACCATGTACTACTTTCTGGTTTTTCCCGGCCTTCAGCCTTAACAAAAAATGGGGTGGGCTTACTTCGTTGCATCGTGCTTCGTGTCGGGTCGGGTTTACGGGCTACCCCAACTTTATCCGATATATAACTTTATCTAATATCCGAAGGTTCAAATTGTAACGTTTGTGAAATACATCTCTTTTTATTTACATTTTCTCCACAAAACCCAAATATCTTTCGTTTTATATTTACCAACAGTCTACAGAAAAGTGAATGATGTGAATAGAGTAAAACTGAACGCTTCATTATGTCCTTCTAGCGACGCTCCTTTCTTTGGTCGCACAATTTGTGATAATACAGATATGACTTTCTTTTTTGGTACCTATTTGGCAGAAGTTTCCGCGGAAACCCTCGGCACAAACGCAATTCTCGTCCACACACGTTCCTTCATTGTGACAAGGGTCTGATGATCCACATGTGACTGTTGGAAAGAAAAAAAAATACAGTTTTTGACAACAAAGTATATTTCCGTCTGTGGTCTATCGAATATATAGTGAGAAATAAACCGGATTAGACAAACAAATAATATGCAGCTTTAAAACTCCTTGTTCCTCCTTTGATAATACTTCCTTGTTTTTGTTGTAATTACTACAAAGCTTGCAAAAGCTTGTCTACGCTGGAATCGAGACTTGGTCTTTGACTGTGCACGCAAAATTCTCTTACCACTAGACGACGTAGGCGGATAGAGGGGTATTCTGCTAAACCAGATGCAATCAACGAAAACTAGACAGCCTCTCAATCGAACCTCTTACTAGTTACTTTCTTCCTTTTTTGCCAAAAATCTTGCTAGGAAAACTACCGCCACGGATAGTCACTTTACACATTTTCTAGCCCAGGGTGATAAAATATATATGTTGGGTATTATGAGGAGGCTAGGAACAGTATGTGGTATATGTGTGCCATGTGGTCGGGTGGTGTGTGTGTGTGTGTGTCGCGTGTCGCATGGTGGGTGAGGGGCGGTAGTAGTGCGTGGATGATGCTGTTGAGAGTATGTTGAACGGGGGAGGGAATGGGAGAATAGACACCAATTCTCTCTCAAGGATACTTTAATATTCTTGATCTTATATATGAAAATGTTTTCAAAACACTTCATTCAATTATTGCAATTTGTGTTTAATCCAAAATATCAATGTACAATGTATTTAGTTTTGTGAAGAACGATTTGTACAATATGTATTTGATTTGAGTGAAAATAATAAAAAATATCTTTAAAACAAAATCCTGGATATTAAAATCATGATGAACAGGAATTTGCAAAACATGCACACGAAAATATTCAAATACTTACGCTTTCTTTGACACCGGTTGCCAGCAAATCCTTCTGGACATGTGCAAGATCCTTGCTCACAGGTTCCGTCATTAAGACAATCGATCTTATCACATTTATCTGAAAACAATCAGAGACAAAAATGCTCTAATAAATGATGTAGCACAAGACAGTACGAAGGTCAAGACCAACTTGTAAATTAATTTTGTTGGGGCCACTTAGAGTTCGAGTTAGATTTAGTGTTGCTGTTGCTACTTTTCTTTCTTTTTGTTGAAATTTCAATATAGGCATTGTGCGTGTTCTTAAAGAAAAACTTGAGTCTGGTAATGATAGAAAATGAATTCTTACAGAATCCAACCAAATTTACACTGAATGTTAAAGATAACAAATAAATGACGATTTTGGTAGATATGGTATAGGGGCTGAGCAATGAGCATCAAGGTGAGTAGGCTCGACACCATGTGCTTAACACGGGTCATTATGTGCAAATAAGAGTTGCGGTTTTATTTGAAGATGATTTTCAGCAAGTTTTTGTGAGTTTGTTTTTATTTTACTGGTTCATAGAATCAATCTACTGCAGGATAAACAAACTAGACTGAATTATAGCCGTGTTCAGCTTGAAGGTAACAATTGCCTTCTGTTTTAATATACATTTTTAGACTCAAAGGGACATTTATGCGCTTTAACCTCCCTTTTTCCAAAGGAATTGAAAAGCAATAGACAGATAGATGACCTTTAAAACCCGACAGACAACCATTTTAATCTTCCAAGGACTATAAAATACCTAATCCGTTGGCTCAAAATAATGTGCACGCGTCCTTTACACCGAGTTTACAAAAAGGGAGTGATACAGCGATCAAAGAGCCTTAGTCACAACGGATCGTACGAAACTTTGTTGTAGTAGACCGATAAAATATATGTCGTGGCCACATCTTGCAACATACCCGAAATCTATTTCGATTAGTCACAAAGGCTACGACACATTAAGTTGGTTTGACGAGGGGGACGCGTCAGAAAAAAAATACATGTCGTGGTCATGTTGTGGGTATGTGGCAAGTCTGTCGGGTATTATCGGGGAGCTGTTTTTCACGTGATCAGGTCATGGGTCACTCGTGGGACGCTCGCGTGTCCGTCGCCCGTCTCTGCCTCGTACGACAGACTCCCGACAGCCACAATACATAGATGACACCTAAATTTCGTAGGACTGTCTTGTGATGACCAACGATTTGCCCAAATTTTCTGTCGTGTTGTGGCACAAATGCGTCGTGGGTATGTTATGACCAAGCCTCTACTTAGTAAGCTGTCTGGCCCAGTAATTAAAATTACTTGTGAATACCATGTAGGCCTACTACTTTCGGGATTTTCCCGGCCTTCAGCCTTAAAAGAAAATGGGGAGGGCTTACTTCGTTGCATCGTGCTTCGTGTCGGGTCGGGTTTACGGGCTACCTCAACTTTATCCGATATCTAACTTTATCTAATATCCGAAGGTTCAAGTTGCAACGTTTGTGAAATACATCTCTTTTTATTTACTTTTTCTCCACAAAACCCAAAATATCTTTCGTTTTATATGTACCAACAGTCTAGAGAAAAGTGTAGTTTGCCAGCCTTAATGTGAATAGAGTTAATGCTACGGTCACAAATGTTCGTACGAACGATTTGTTCGTACGAATCTCCCTGTTTTTACGAATTTCAGAATTCGTAGAGATTCGTAGACGGTACATAGTTTCTTACGTCCTTCTTACGGAGTTCGTACGAACGCCGTTTAATTCGCAAGAAGAACTTAAGGCCTTCTTGAGAAACGAAGTGATTTTCGGTTATACAATGGCCCTAGAGTTCGTACGTTTTTCGTAAGAACGCCTTGAGTTCTTCTTACGTCAGACTTACGGCCGTCTTACGAGTTTTGATCTTGCAAGGTGGTCGTACGTGTAACTCACGGCATTCACAAGTCATTCGTAAGAAGATCTTACGATTTTTTAAAATATTTGGTCGGGTTGCAAAAAAAGCGCTGCTGTATACGGTCGAAAATTTGAGTGTTGAAAGTTTGATATTTCACGATGGCAGTATTGCCAAGAAGACTACAACTGCAACTGCAACTCTATCAAGTGATTCTTTAACTTACTGTTTTTTGTTCTCCATATTTTTCCCTCCACAGGGATTTTATTGATTTTCATTTGAAACAAATTAACAAATATATATTCAAGGTAATTTACATTTATAACATTAATACAATTGGTTTAGTACAATCACATAGCAGATGTATAACTGTTTCAATCTGTTCATTACAAAACGTACATTCTTTTCTTGGGACTAAATTCATTTTAAACAGTAGATCGTTCGTATATAATATGCGTTGCAAAACTTCAAACTGAAACCATCGTAAGCCCACATCAATGGTAAAATTAAATCCAATAGAACAATATGTTTCCCAACTCTTATCATTCAGGTCGAAATACACGTTTACATAGTCTTTTTCTTCTCTTTAAAAAAGTTGCATAGATATGTAAACATCCTTTAATACATTTCATAACAAATGTCATTGTATCTGGGAAAAGAGGTTGTGGCACCATGTTAAAACATAGTACAATTGTTAAACCCTTGTCTAATTGCATCGCATAATCCACGATAAAAAAGAAAATTTATTTGAATATTATACTTTTCTTGGAAATGTTTCAGAGAGAAAAAAAAATCACCATTTGTCTCTAAAATATCATTGACAAAGCGAACTCCCTTTTGACACAATTTTATATTATATATTGAGCTATTACCTATTTTAATGTGATCATTATTCCATAAGGGTTGGCAAGAAATGTTATCACAAGAGCGTACTGTAAGCCATGAACATTTCTTTCCAAAAAAGGTTCTTTGTTTTACCTGCCAGTTCCCGAAAATAATTGTTTACTGTTAGCATATCTGTTACTTCCTTTATTATAAAAGCAGCCATGTTCACCGAGGAAGTCAACAAGTTTTTGCTCTGTGGTGGCATCAAAGTCATACTTCTCCTTTCTTAGTTTCCCCGTTGCCTCATCTTCATCGCTATCAAACTGCCGTCTTGATGGTTCTTCCTCCTCGTCGTCATCGTCTTCATCTTCCATCGCCTCCTCCCGGTCGCTTTCGATGGCTTGATATTATTGCTTGATATTATTGTTGCTGCTCTCCTCCTCTTGTTTCCCTTTCCTCTCTTTCCTCTAACGGATTTCCCCTTTGGTCCCATATTTCTTCGACAGGGGGGCACCCTCGACGACACTATGAACAGGCGCACCGGAAGCAGTTTAGGATTGGGGGTGGGGGGGGGGGGGCAAACATTTCAGGGGCTCACCTTCCAGGGGCAATGGCGTAATGAGCAAAAACGTTTGGAAGGGGGAGCAGAAGAAAAATCTGCATCACCACCACTCTTACACGTAAATTCGCGTGGGGTCGAGGGGCTGAGCCCCCGGAAGCTCAGAGGTTTTTAGATATTTAACTACGGTCAGATGAGCATCCAGGGGACCGCCTTAGGGCCCTTAGTGGGGTCCGAGGGCGGAGCCCCTGTAAGCTCTTGGGTTTTAATTAGGCATTTAATTACGGTCAGATCAGCATATTTTGATACCTTATTTGTGACATTGGCAGGTCACTTATTTTTTCTCTCTTTCTTTCTTTTTCTCTGTAACATACTTTTTCAAAAAGTGAGGGGGCTCGAGCCCCCGAGCCCAGCTGTTCTGCAGGCCCTGACATGAAGGCTTTAAATAAGCATATTTTTCGCCCGACTGTAAATTTGGGAATTTCTAGTTTTCCAACAAACGCATCAAAAGGTATGACTTACAAAAAAATTGAGAAAAAATACCGGAAATCATATCTTTTCAGTAACATTTGTAAATCACTGCATGGTATCGAATAAGAAATAACAATAAAATCAGTACGCCAGCGTTCAGGGCTCATGTCTTCTCACCCCAATACCAAAAAACACAAATGCTTTCCCATCCTCTCACAATAATTCGACGATATGCCCGTATCGCTATTATAAAAACCTCCATTGATAAATAAAGGTTGCATGCGGAATGTTTAAGAAATTTAATTCCTGTTAACTTTCCTTTTCTTTGAATGGAATGTTATGTGTGATATAATTCAGGTTTTACCAGGTTTGTCCCCCCCCCACCACTTTTTTGGTTGGCCGGGGGCGGGGCTCTATGATTATGAACATAGTAAGGATTTGAACTTCACGCACTTGGCTTTATAACCGCTAAAAATCAAAATTAGCATAAATTGTGTACGTACACCTTACGAGCACCTTACGAACGCCTTACGAACGCCAGGAGTCGTTCTTACGAAGACCATAAGAATCTCCGCTCGTAAGGAGTTCTTACGAACGCCATAAGAGCCCTCTATGAACAACCTGAAGCGTTCTTACGTTCATCGTAATAATTTGAAGCTTCTAGAATTGTCCCTCGACCCTACGAAATGTACGAAGATCTTGCGTGGTTCTTACGATGTAATTACGGCGTCATTACGGCCGCCTTACGAAGAGAGGGTTTCGTACGATGCTAAAAAAAATCTTGGACCAGACCATCGACCAATTTGTGATCTTACGAACGGTCTACGAACGGTCTACGAACGCTGGTTTCGTACGGCCTTCTTAAGAAGATCTTACGAAATGGTCTGAAAATCGTTCGTACGGCGTTCGTAACAGCCCGTAAGGGTATTTGTGACCAAGGCATAAACTGAACACTTCATTATGTCCTTCTAGCGACGCCCCTATCTTGGGTCGCACAATTTGTGATAATACAGATATGACTTTCTTTTTTGTACCTATTTGGCAAAAGTTTCCGCGGAAACCCTCGGCACAAACGCATTTCTCGTCCACACACGCTCCTTCATTGTGACAAGGGTCTGATGATCCACATGTGACTGTTGGAAAGAAAAAAGAAATACAGTTTTTGACAACAAAGTATATTTCCGTATGTGGTCTATCGAATATACAGTGAGAAATAAACTGGATGAAACAAAAAAATAATATGTCGCTTTAAAAATCTTTGTTCCTCCTTTGATAATGCTTTCTTTTTCGTTGAAAATACTACAAAGCTTGCAAAAGCTTGTCTACGCTGGAATCGAGACTTGGTCTTTGACTGTGCACGCAAAATTGTCTTTCCAATAGACGACGTATGCGGATAGAGGGGTATTCTGCTACACCAGATGTAATCAACGAAAACTAGACAGCCTCTCAATCGAACCTCTTACTAGTTTATTTGTGACTTTTTTTGCCAAAAAGCTTGCCAGAAAAATTACCGCCACAGATAGTCACTTTATACATTTTCTAGACCAGGGTAATAATAGATATGTAAAGCGCTTAGAGTCTTTTTTGTTCATTTCAAGCGCTATATAAATCCAGATTGTTTCTATTAAATGGTCAGATTGAATGATGTTTGAATAAAGGAAACTGTGTTTTACCCTTTTAAATACTGAACTTCTCAAACTGTCTTCTTCCTTATCCCTTCCACAGTATCGGAATAACACATCATATATTGAATTGTATAACTGACATAAATGCATGGGCGTCCCAGCGACTTCCAAAGTTGAGAGGGGAGGGGGAAGAAAGAAAAGGGGCACTTTCAGGAAAAGGACACCTACGAAAAGAATTCTCAAAGCGAAAATATACAGCGTTTTTGTGAGGGTGGCCTGTGTGTTCATGCACGTGGTTCATATATCGTTTCGGTTACTCTGAGGAGGTTAGGAACATTATGTGGTATATGTGTGCCCTGTGGTTGGGTGGTGTGTGTCGTGTGTCGCATAGTGGGAGGGGGGTAGTAGTGGGTGGATTAGGGTGTTGAGAGTATGTTTAACGGGGGAGGGAATGGGAGAATAGACAACAATTTTTTTTTCAAGTTTACTTCATTATTCTTGATCATATATGTGAAAATGTTTTCTAAACAGTTTATTCTATTATTGCAATTTGCGTTTAATCCAATATATTAATCTACAGTGTATCCATTTTTGTATTGTACAATATGCATTTGATTTGAGAGAAAATAATAAAAAATATCTTTAAAAAAACAAATCGTGGATAAATCATGATGAACAGGAACTCGTCTACCACGCACCAAAAATATATTCAAATACTTACGCTTTCTTTGACACCGGTTGCCAGCAAATCCTTCTGGACATGTGCAAGATCCTTGCGCACAGGTTCCGTCATTAAGACACTCGATCTTATCACATTTATCTGAAAACAATCAGAGACAAAAAAAAAAAAGCTATTATAAATGATGTGGCACAAGAAACTACGAAGGTAAAGACCAACTTGTAAACTAATTTTTGGCCACTTAGAACTCGAGTTAGATTTGATGTTGCTGTTGCAACTTTTGTTTCTTTTTGTTGAAATATCAATATGAACATTGCGCGTTTTCTTAGAGATCAGCTTGAGTTCTAGTAAAGATAGAAGATAAATTATCACAGTATCCAATCAAATTTACACTGAATGTTAAAGATAACAAATAAATGACGATTTTGGTTAATATGGTATAGGGGCTTAGCAATGAGCATCAAGGTGAGTAGGCTCGACACCATGTGCTTAACACGGGTCATTATGTGCAAATAACAGTTGCGGTTTTATTTGAAGATGATTTTCAGCAAGTTTTTGTGAGTTTGTTTTTATTTTATTGGTTCATAGAATCAATCTACTGCAGGATAACCAAAGTAAACTGAATTATAGCCGTGTTCTCTCGACATACGATGCCCTTACCAGAGCTCAAGATCAGCTTGAAGGTAACAATTGCCTTTTGTTTTAATATACATTTTTAGACTCAAAGGGACATTTATGCGCTTTAACCTCCCTTTTTCCAAAGGAATTGAAAAGCAATAGACAGATAGATGTCCTTTAAAACCCGACAGACAACCATTTTAATCTTCCAAGGACTATAAAATACCTAATCCGTTGGCTCAAAATAATGTGCACGCGTCCTTTACACCGAGTTTACAAAAAGGGAGTGATACAGCGATCAAAGAGCCTCGGTCACAACGGATCGTACGAAATTTTGTCGTGGTAGACCAATAAATATATGTCGTGGCCACATCTTGCAACATACCCGAAATCTATTATATACGAGTAGTCACAAAGGCTACGACACATTAAGTTGGTTTGACGAGGGGGACGCGTCAGAAAAAAAATACATGTCGTGTTCATGTTGTGGGTATGTGGCAAGTCAGTCGTGCGACAGTCGTTGAACCATCGTGAGCTGTCGGGTATTATCGGGGAGCTGTTTTTCACGTGATCAGGTCATGGGTCACTCGTGGGACGCTCGCGTGTCCGTCGCCTGTCTCTGCCTCTTACGACAGACTCCCGACAGCCACAATACATAGATGACAACTAAATTTCGTAGGACTGTCTTGTGATGACCCACGATTTGCCCTAATTTTCTGTCGTGTCGTGGCACAAATGCGTCGTGGGTATGTTATGACCAAGCCTCTACTTAGTAAGCAGTCTGGCCCAGTAATTCAAATTACTTGTGAATACCTTGTACTACTTTCGGATTTTTTCCCGGCCTTTAGCCCTTAATCAAAAATGGAGTGGGCTTACTTCGTTGCATCGTGCTCCATGTCGGGTCGGGTTTACGGGCTACACCAAATTACGTGAATATTCAAGCTGTAATTTCCGAAGGTTCAAGTTGTAACGTATGTGAAATACATCCCTTTTTATTTACTTTTTCTCCACAAAACCCAAAATATATTTCTTTTTATATTTACCAACAGTCTAGAGAAAAGTGTATTTGCCAGCCTACATGTGAATGGAGTAACTCAACACTTTATTATGTCCTTCTAGCGACGCCCCTATCTTTGGTCGCACAATTTGTGATAATACAGATATGACTTTCTTTTTTGTACCTATTTGGCAAAAGTTTCCGCGGAAACCCTCGGCACAAACGCAATTCTCGTCCACACACGCTCCTTCATTGTGACAAGGGTCTGATGATCCACATGTGACTATTGGAAAGAAAAAGAAATACAGTTTTTGACAACAAAGTATATTTCCGTATGTGGTCTATCGAATATATAGTGGGAAAAAAAACTGGATGAGAAAAACAAATGTCGCTTTAAAAATCCTTGTTCCTCCTTTGATAATGCTTCCTTTTTCGTTGAAATTACTACAAAGCTTGCAAAAGCTTATCTACGCGGGAATCGATTGGTCTTTGACTGTGCACGCAAAATTCTCTTTCCAACGACAGCTAGGTAGACAGCCTCTCAATCGAACCTCTTACTAGTTAATTTGTGACTTTTTTTTGCCTAAAAGCTTGGCAGAGGGTGAGGGTGGCCTGTGTGTTCATGCACACAGGTAGTTCATATATTCTTTCGGTTTAATACTCTGAGGAGGTTAGGAACAGTATGTGGTCTATGTGTGCCATGTGGTCGGGTGGTGTGTGTCGTGTGTCGCATAGTGGGAGGGGTAGTAGTGCGTGGATTAGGGTGTTGAGAGTATGTTTAACAGGGGAGGGAATGGAAGAATAGACAAAAAATTCTCTCAAGTTTACTTCATTATTCTTGATCATATATATGAAAACGTTTTCTAAACAGTTTATTCTATTATTGCAATTTGTGTTTAATCCAAAATATTAATCTACGATGTATCCATTTTTGTTATTGTACAATATGTATTTGATTTGAGAGAAAATAATAAAAAATATCTTAAAAAAAAACAAATCGTGGATAAATCATGATGAACAGGAACTCGTCTAACACGCACACAAAAGTATTTAAATACTTACGCTTTCTTTGACACCGGTTGCCAGCAAATCCTGGTAGACATATGCAAGAGCCTTGCGCACAGATTCCGTCATTGCGACAATTGATCTCATCACATTTATCTGAAAACAATCAGAGACAAAAGTTGCTCTAATAAATGATGCGGCACAAGAAAGATCGTGATTGGTGACGTGTCGGCTTTACGTGCTTTGCCAACCAGGGGCGGATCCAGCCGGCGGCAGTGGAGGGCCCAATTTGTGCCCAATTTGTGAGAAAATATTTAGCGGCGAAACAGCCGGCCGATAATTCGCTCGGTGGGGGAGGGGAGGGGGGGGGGGGTAGTGAGCAATTTTTTGGATTTGTTTTGTTGTTGCTCCCGACAATTTGAAAATCGCGCCGGCCGATAATTCACTCAGTGGGGGGGGGGGGGGCATCTCGAAAAAAGTAAAAAAATAACGTGTTTTTACACCCCCCCCCCCCCCGGATCCGCCACTGATCCCAACTTACGTGAATAATCAAGCTCTAATTTTCGAAGGTCCAGGTTGTAACGTTTGTGAAATGCATCTCTTTTTATTTTATTTTTCTCCACCAAACCCCAAACATCTTTCTTTTTATATTTACCAACAGTCAAGAGAAAAGTATAGTTTGCCAGCATTAACACTTCATTATGTCCTTTTAGCGACGCCCCTATCTTGGGTCGCACAATTTGTAGCAATACAGATGTGACTTTCTTTTGTTACCTATTTCACAAAAGGATCCGCGGAAACCCTCAGCGCAAACGCATTTATCGCCCACACACGTTCCTTCATTGTGACAGTCGGACGGTTCACATAGAACTGTTGGAAAAAAGAAAGAAATATAGTTGTTAACAACAAATTCTATTTCCTTATGTGGTCTACCAATATACAGTGAGAAATAATTTGAATGAGACCAAAAAAATAAACCTATGCTAATGCTCATAGTGTTTTCTTTATTTGTTGAAATTACTACAAAGCTTGCAAAGGCTTGTCTATGCTGGAATCGATTGGTCTTTGACTGTGCTCGCGAAATTCTCTTTCCACTAGACGACGTATGCGGATGGAGGGGTATTCTGCTACACCAGATGCAATCAACGACAGCTAGGTAGACAGCCTCTCAATCGAACCTCTTACTAGTTAATTTGTGCCTTTCTTGCCAATAGTCTTGCCAGGAAAAATCCCGCCCAGATATAGTCACTTTACTGATTCTCTCTCGGCTTAAAATCTGATATGTTTATACTTCACTCCGATTATTAAGGTGGAGATTATTAATGTAATCAATTAAATGAAAAATAAGCAGAGTTCTGGTTTTGTAGGAATTAATAACTGTCTTTTGAAAAAAGACACCAGATATATTAAAGGTATAGAATAGTTCTGGTAATGCGATTGCATTGTGAAAGAAACGTTGTGGAATCGATCAGACAAGGTTGATCATATAGCATTATAAGTATCGTGGTGTAGCCTACTGCAAGGTTCTGGAATCATCAAAATGATAAGAAATTTGGCCCAGTCTCGCTAAAGTTACAAGCACTGTACACAGAAAGATGTATATGGAACTACGCAGTGTTGATGTTTTTTCTAATGTATTATGCTACGATGATTTGCATGGAACATAAATAAAAGTAGCCTATCGAATTTGGATCTAACACATTGGAATCAAAATTAATGCACACAAAAAAAATCTTCAAAAGTTGAAAGGAAAGCATAATCAAAAAGCTAACGTTTCATTCCACAAGAGGCTAAATCCAGTACGGCGATTAATGGTTTGTTCATTTAAACAACCTGTCCTGCAAAGTTTACGATTTACGTATATATAGTACAGTTACCAGTCTAAACGATCAGTGTAAAACGTTATTCAGTAAATTTAACATATCTAAATATTTTGTACGGATTTTTTTTTTTATTTAGCTCCTTTTCGAATGAAAATACAAATTCAGTGAACGATAAACTTAAACAAGATGATTACATATAATCTATTAGCAGTTTCAATGTGTTTCACATTGAATTTGACTCGTTAAAGTGGTGTAAAAGTGCAAAAGGCTCTAAATCTACAAAAATTAAATTACGAAACAATATGAAAAATAGAATTCATTGCTAGAATTTTCTCATTATCCAAGTATTCATTTATGAAAGAAATAACACTTGCCAATCCGACGAGCGATCCCACTGATGGTGAAACACGAAAGAATGATGTACAGGTAGGGAATCATCATAACCGTTCTGTATCTCGATCAACAAACAAGTGATGGAAAATGCAGGTAGACTATGCCAGATGGGATCATAACATATATGAGCAAATAATAATCAAGGACTAGTACGTGGCAAGGGGCGGCGATTGCTTTTCATGACCGAGGGGGGGGGGGGGGGGATGCGAAGGACGAGGGATCATAGTGAACGAGACTGACGAAGGTGACGGAAATGACTACCCCTCATAGGATTTTGAAGTTTTGTTGTATTAACAAATTATATTCCTTAGCAAAACTACAGTATAAAAAAGCAATATATTTTTTTCACACTTCACTTTTACGTTGATGTTATTTAGTATGCAGTCCGGAGAGTTGAAAATATTTAGTAGGTAAATTTTTAGTAAGTAGAGAGCTTGGGTATAGATGGGTTTACAGTTCACACTCTAGGCCTCTGTCATGATCAGTGATATCGCTATGTGAGTTGAAATGGCAAACATATAGACTATGTGTAAACATACAGTGTAAAATGTGCTTACGTGATACCAAAGGAATACAGATTTTCTACAATATTTACTTGTTTATTTTTTAAGGATATTATGCGAGGGGGCGCAGCGACCGAGCGAGAAGATTTGTGCATTTGTATTAGTCTAAACGCTTCACTCTTGGGCCCTCCAGAGCCTAAAAGTGTGTTGAAGTCTTCAGTCAGTATGTGCTATACATACATTTTGCACTTTTTCAAATTTTCTAGGGGGCACGATCCCTCCTTAAAAAAATTGAGGGAGGGGGGACGTGTCCCCCTGTCCCCCCGTTGATCACCTCGTTTCTATTCTTTTGTCTCATGTCCGCACATCTGCTTACGATTAAAAAGCGGTGGCCTTCAATCCTTTCACACTTTCTCAGGTCTGTTAACAAAAATATTGATTGGGTCCTTGAAATATTTTTGTTTGTGTTAATTAAGCCCGACGCACACATATTACACATCACGATTCGACTGCGATCCTATTACTATGCGACTGTGCTTGGGCCCAAATGGGTAGGAAAGAATCGCACGCTATTTTCCCCAGTAAAATGTCCTCTAGCCGAATGTGGGTAGCCCAGCCCGCGTATATCCCAAAGACGATACGTTATGTTCCCCTGGCAAGTGCATACACAACCTAGTATGTTTGCCTAATTACAAGGACTCCGACGGGCCTCTTGAGAAGAAGGGATATGAATAAATGGGTGTAAAAGATGGGATAAAAGTAAAGAGAGAGGGGAGCTGGGCGAGGAGGAGGGGTGGAAAAGTGAAAGTTTGCAAAAAGTCGGTAGGTGCGGGTACATGTAAGTGATCGAGGGGGGGGGGGGGTGGGGGGGGGCGGTGGTAAAAGGTGAGAGGGAATATGATGAAAAATGAGACAGAGTCAAAATGCTGGGAATGGAAATGAAGAGGAAAGAAAAGCTATTAAGGAGGGAGTGAATGTGGAAAGAAATATAGGTGAGATGAGAAGATTCAGAGTGAGAGACGGCTTGGAGAGAAAGAAGAAGGGAGTCAAAGAAAAAGTATGAAGTGCACGGTTAGAAATGTTCCACTTTTTTGTATCCAATAATTGTCTTTTCATCGAATAATAATTCACCACCCCTCCTGTTACTCCCCATTCCCTTATGTCTCTCCCTTACGCTCTTTTCAGAGAAATTAAAAACTGAAAATAGTTTTTTTTTTTTTTTTTTTTTTTTTTTGGGGGGGGGGGGGGGGATAGTGAGCACTAATTTTTGTTTTGCCCTCGTTAATTTGAAAAATCGCACCCCTCCCCCCTTGAGCACAAGGGAAGGGGGCCCATCTCCCCCCAAAATGTAAAATTTACGTGTTTTTAACGGTATTTTTCCCAGGGGAGGAGGCCCGGGCCCCCTCCTGGGATCCGCCACTGCTTCTACCAATCGACCATCCAAAGCGTAATGACATTCAACCTAATTTGCACTTTTGGTAACATGTCAAACGAGCAAAAGGGAAGAGTAGATCGAACTCGAAGAGTTGCACAGAGGGTTATAGGATCAGACCTGCCCCTGTTCTAGCACTTTATGAAAAACGCCTGCTTGCAAGATTGTTATACTGTTATCAACCTTACAGATGCAGGTTACATGTTACTCTTCGAGTTTAGATTGTATTTACGTAGTATAGTTTAGTTTGTTATACTCTTTGTAAGATTTGTTGTTATTATACTCATCATGTTTATACTCCCAATATATCTATGTAACATATGTTTTATGGACCTCTGCCTTGTGCAGCCGAGTCTGAAATAAAGTTCTGAATTGAATTGAATTAAAGTTATAATGGCAGACAATACTCATCTTCTCAATGATTGTTTCAGGTTCAGACGTTCTGGAATAAAACATGTGCCCTCCCCGTACTCGCCTTTCATGTTCTCGGAATTCACTCATCCCCAATTCCATACATGTGTATAATTCAACTGTGACGCGATAACTATATATATATATATATATATATATATATATATCGTCACCGTTTTCACGAAGTGGCCTCAGTGGCCAAAATCGTTGAAATTTTTAATTTCGAGTTTTGACCGTTTTTGAGCAATGTATATAAATGTCTACAACTTCAGTAATTTTCAAAGTCTAATCTTGCTTAATTACGTCATACGTGACGTCACGAAACGTATCACAAGCGGTACAACTGGCAAACACCGTTTTCACGAAGTGGCCTCTTACGCGCAAATGTAGTCTGCTATTGATAATCGTACACGAACCGGCTCCGCGAAGCCTTTGTCACAGATGCCGGTGCTTCTGGCGGAATTGTTAGAGGAATCTGACAGCCCTAGGTAATTATTTTCACTTATTTTAAAACAATGTTATGCATCGTTCAATAATATCGTCTGTAGCAGTATAAACAAACTCATATTCTAAACGGATATCAAGTTACGAAATGGCGAGATAGGTCATTACAGTCCCACGCACTGTTTTCTGCGTGAGTTGTATTGTCGGTCTACTAGTATGCAGATCTAGTAGTACGTGTACGTAGTACTCGCCTACTACTACTAGTACTATCAACAGAGTGCTACTAGGTATTAAGTAACACAGTATCTTAGATAAGCTTGAACATGTATAAGTGCAGGAGCAGTTACATGCAATAACAACAATGTCACGAGTCACAAGGCGAATTTGCTGAAGAGTGAAGCCCAGCCAGGGCAGGGGAGATATCAATAATAATTTTACATTAACTATGTTAACTGATTAAAGCAGTACCAGCCCAAGCCTCCAAGGCATGGCCCAATTAGCCAAGGGCACATTTTGGTTAAAATTCAATGTCAATGTTGATATGACAATGCCAAATCATAAAATGGCAATTGCGACGTAGGAGTTGAGTCTAGGCTCGAGCGCGAGCCTAGAGTCTAGATCTACTACATTGTCATTAGTACTAGATTTAAATGTTACATGACCCCCTCGTAAGCTCTTTCCATGTTCATGTTATAAATACGAGACTGAGACTTGAATAGTAAAGCCAGGTATGCTTGAATGAATAAACAATTTTGTGCTTGCTAATAATTTAAAGGGAAATCCAACCATGAGAATTGAGATGAAGTGGCTTAATTTCAGCAAATGCAGAAAAATGAAGCAAATACATTTCATGTTTCTTCCCGGTTTTACCAGTAGAATAGCCGGCTGAGAGGACCATCACTAGCACTCCCAGGCCCAGTGGCTGATGTCTAAGTAGGAGTTTGACGTGGAGAGCTTTCAGCATGTTGTTGAGGTACTAATGGATGGGGGGGGGGGGGGGGTCAACCTAGCATAGGCTAGAGCGGCTTCTTATACACTCGGCTTTATGCTCATAAACGCATACCTGCTCTTAATTAATTTGCTTTAAAGACAAAGATAAAGCTGATGGTATGGGAAGACGTCCACTACAAATTCCTCCCTCTTTATTGTGCATGATAATTTCATTTTGCCACCAAAGTTGTGGTTGAGCTACTTAAGGTGTACCTTTTGCCTTGGACTTAGAGGATGACAGGCTTTTTGTTTTGTTGGGGGGGGGGGGTTTGCTTATAATAATAGTACTACCGTAGTTGCTTCTGGTATAGCGCACATGTCCGTCACGTTGTGAGGGGGGGGGGGGGGGAGTTGGCACTAATTTGGGTTGTTTCATCCCATGTTTGCAAGACTGAGACTTAATTATGCAAGGTCTTCTTAATTGCTTTAGATAATGATGTGCTTGCTAATAAGTTAAAGGGATATCCAACCGTGAGATGAAGTGGCTTGTTTGAACAAATGCAGAAAAATTAAACAAATACCTTTCATATTTTTTCATAGTTTACCAGTAGAATAGACAGCTGGGATACGCAAGAGATGAGGGACCACTAGCACCCCCAGTGGTTGATGTCCATGTAGGAGTTTGTGCAGCTGATGTGGAGAGCTTTTAGCAAATTGACAAGGTATGTGTGGTAAGGAAATTAGCTCCAAAAGAAAAGTTATAGATTGGGAGTTGGGCTGGCGAGGGGAAGGGGTCAATCTTTAGCAAACAAATGAACTATTTTCATTTACATAACAATGATCCATGGACAAAACTATGCTGGGAAGTAATTTTCTAATGTGCGCAAAGTGGTGGGGGTGCTAGGAGGGCCCTCCAAAGATGACGGGTTCCCAAACACTCAATTTTTTTTCATAAACGCATGACTGATCTTGCTTTGAAAGGTTTTAGGCAGTTGATGGTATTGTAAGGCATCAAACACAAGTTCTTCGCTCTTTAATGTGCATGACAGACATTCATTTTGCCAACATGTCATGTTTGAGCTACTTATGGTGTATCAACTTACAAGATGACAGGCTTCATCTTATATTTTGTATTTTTCTTATTGTCTTTTTTTCATAGGGGGAAGGGGGTGAAGAAGGAGAGTTACACTTATTTGTGTTGTTTCATCACAGAAAAAATAAAATAATATGCATTAACCTGATGCCAGTAATTTTTTGAAGAGATGCGATTTTAAAATCATATCATCCCAGTATAGCTTCCTGTACGAGCTGTGTTGGGTTTTTTT